GGAGTCGTGAAGGACCAACACAAGCCAGTCCTTTACTCAAGGTCGAGAAGTCTTTCTCCAGGCAACAGATCCACACCATCATTACTTACATCCATCAGAGCTGTTTCCAGAATGTCGATGGCAAAGTTGAAGAGGAATGGTGAGATTGGGCGACCCTGCCTAACCCCACTGCTCGAATGGAACAATGGAGAGAGGTGGTTGTATGCCCTCACTCTACCTGAGGTGCTTTTATATAGGGCTTTTAGGATGTTAATAAACTTCTCAGGCACACCCTTCTTCAGTAGACAATCCCAGAGAACAGTCCTATCCAACGAATCGAAGGCAGCCCTGATGTCAAGAAATACTACGATTGTTGGCCTTTGATAAGTATGACGTTTTTCTAACATTTGGCGGAGGGTGAAGATATGATCAATACATCCTTGACCGGAACGAAACTCAACCTGCTCCTCGCGAGTCAATCTTTCTCGGGTTTTGAACAACCTACGAAGTATGACGGAAGCCAATAGCTTGGACGCAATCGGAAGTAGACTTATCCCCCGATAACTGTTACAGGGACGATGTGAACCCTTTTTAAAGATAGGGACAACTATCGACTCATTCAATGACGTTGGTACACTCTCTAGTTCCCATACCTTTGTAAACAACGTCGTCAGTTCCTTAGTCAGAAATTCACCACCATCTTTAAAAAGAGCCGGAGGTAAGTCATCTGGGCCAGGTGATTTGTAACGCTTCAAGAGTTGGAGTTCCTTGTGGACTTCCGCCTCATTTGGTGGATCAGTCGTCACCGGCCATGGAGGGCAGTACAGTTTGACCGATGTTGCCGGAGCAGCAGGCCAGTTGAACTGCCCATCGTCCAAGACGTCGATGGATGTTAGTGATTGGCGTTCCGTCATCCTCGCAGATTGTTTCGCTCACACCAGACTTCTTGCTGCCAGTGGCTCGGATAAGTTGGAAGAGCTTCCGGTAGTTACCAGATGCAGCTGCTGCTTCCAGCTCATTAGCACGCTCCGAACACCAGGCTTCTCGATCCTTACGCAAGCTCTGTCCAATTTCGCTACGTAACATCCTTCGTTTGTGGTCAAACTCACGGTCACCCGGAGTAGACCGATGGGCTTCGATGAGTTGTAAGGAACCTGAAGAAACCCAGTGCTTAAAAGCGGAACGTTTCGCAAATTCACAACTGACTGTACCCGCCATTTTCATGGCGTCAAGCAATTGCAACCAATGCTCATCGATACTTTTCGGTGGAATGGTAGCTAGCCTAGCAGCTAGCTCGGTTTGATATTTACTTGCAACAGAAGTTGCAACCAGCTTGCTAATATCAATCCTTTGCTGGCGGTCACTTCGTTGTCCACTGAAAAGTAAGGCAAGATTGGCGCAGACCAAGGCATGGTCAGAGTCCAGATAGGTACTCCAAAAGGAGCGGCAGTCTTTTACACAACCACGCCAGTGGTAGCTGATCGCGATGTGATCAATCTGAGTCCAGGCTTGAGATGCAGAACGAGGACGCCACGTGGCACATTGGCGATGACTGTGCCGAAAGTTAGTGCTGACCAGAAACAGGTTGTAGTTTGTGCACAGTTGCAGTAGACGGTCTCCGTTATCTGTCGTGCGACCAACAAGTCCCCATCGACCACCCAATCGACTCTCTTCTGTGCCTAGACGCCCGACCTGAGTATTCAAGTCTCCGGCTAGTACTAAAATATCCGTCGAACTCACTTTCTGGAGAAGAACAGATAACTGGTGGTAAAACTCATCCTTGATTGCATCCGGACTGCAATCTGTCGGAGCATAGGCGGAGATGACGAAAAGACATCGTTTCTCACGCCGATTTCTTCTCACTTTGATGGAACTTTCTAATCTAACAGCACATAACCGACTGTTCATGGGGATCCAATCGATTAGTGCTGCCTCAGCTCTAGCGCTTAGTGCGACACCAACGCCAGCAAGACCAGACAAAGGTACCACAGGGTCCCCGGATAGGCGCACGTAAAACAAGCTTTTTCAAGCGACAGATGGAGATCGAATTCGTAGTACTTCGCCAGAGTCTTGAATACGGGTCTCGGATAGACAACAAACGTCGATATTAAGACTTCCCAAAGACATAGTCAGCCCTATCTGTTGTCCAACCTGCATAAGTGTGCGAACGTTGAAGGCAGCCAGTTTGAATGGTGCACGTGGCTTCAGAAAAACTACTTCAGTACTCGTATTCGGTGGTAACATACAATCTTCTACCGGACAGTGACTCGAGAACGTTTAGATACAGTCGAATTTCCACCATAGACGAGCTATTGTATAAATCGAAAAACTAAGTATAAACAGAGTGGGAATAAAAGAGGATGAATAATGACGTAGTAAATAATAATAATAATAATAATAATAATGCGAGTCACTTGATTGTTATTTGGAGCGACAGGAATATTTTCCATAAGTAGATAGTTTATCATGTTTTTGTGTGCGGGCTGAGATACTGCCCGGGTGCCCAGACCGAAGCAGGCGGTTTTCTTAGGGGGCCACATCCCGAGCCTTCGGCCTGAAGGTCTGATCCACAAGGCAGTGGAGCATCGTGAGGAGATGCAGTCCCATCGTATCCGGTCACTAACGATTGCTTTATACGCCATTTGTTCCCTCAGGATACTGGAGCCCATGTGCACCATTGGTTTGGAATTTAGTTAAAGCGCCGGACATTCGCTTTTCGTTCTCTCATTTTTGTAAACAACACCTCCGCCACGAGAAGGCAATGAGTAGGACTTCCCTGGAAGAGGCTGTATACGCGTGGCCGTGTGAGAGTATTTCGAGAGGGAGTGCGGACTCTCTCTACTCTCGGCCGTACCAGGGCATTTGGGGGCTGTATATACCTACGCCATTGTGGTTGATTCTGAGCCATGTCACCCAGAGTCCCCAACCATTAGTCACACGAATCCCAACCTAGCCTGCATCTACCAAGATGGCTAAAGCTAGAAGTTAATAACTTCAAGCACTGATGTCACGTTTTGGTTTGGCCACCCCTAACTCTCTTCCAACCATTCCCAACACTAGTCAGCATTGCGCGTCGTGGTAATCTGTATTCAAGGGGTTCTGGCATTAGATTTTTTTCTTCAAGGTTGTATTTTAATATTCTGTCAATTGATCAACAGAATAAGTAGTTTTAACCATGAGAGAACAAAAACGTTTGCGGAATACAATAAACCAATTCTATTTCATGACCCATCAGATCCAAGCGGCCTAAAATTACAACAAACACCATAATTACAAATAAAGATTTATCTCACTTTAGTCAGTGAAATTTAGATGTGTGTTTCTTATGAGAAACCAAAACTCATGAAAAGAACGGGTTACGGAATATATCGTTAAATATAGTTAGGATTGGTGCGTATTTATGTTAAAAATATCAATAGTAATAGTACTGAATAGAGGGATAATATTATGGATAATAATCACTTGTGAGAAAAAGATTACATTTTTAGAACTCAACTCAAATTAATATGTGAGCATCAATAAGATTATGTAACAGACAAAAAACGGGGTTAAGCGGCAAATAAGGCTATAAAGGGTTGTTTGATCACAATCATAGTTACCATAGCGAACGATGGTTTCATCACTTTATTTCTTAACACAGGTCAGTTTGGAAGCTTTTGATAGCAATTGCCTCAGCAAAGCGGCGTAAAATCGATATTGTTTGTTTCTTAATCATTTTAGATGCGTATCTGGGATTGACTCCGTGTCCACTCTCCATTAAGTGCATAGGAATTGCACCTATGAAGGCTTTATTACTTCTTAGGCATCGGCTTTTCTGAATGTATTCAAGAAACGTGATAGAAGCCTTTCTCTGGGTCCATCTAGACATACTTGCCACCACAGATATGCATGAATGCATGTATGCCCCCAAATGCCCTGGTACGGCCGAGAGTGGGGAGAGCCAGCTCTGCCTCCCGCAATGCTCTCACATGTCCACGTACATACAACCGCTGCTAGGGAAGTCTTACTCACCATCTTTTCGCGCGGGAGTGTTTTTTACGAAATTGAGAGGACAAAGAGTGAATGCTTGGAGCTCTAACCGGGTTGGTGGACATGAAAAGTCCATCTAGAAGAGTTGGGAAACCCTGATTCCAAACCAATAATGCACATGGGCTCCAGTAGCCTGAAGGAACAGATGGCGCATGAACCAATTATTGGTCACCGGCTACCATGGGACCGCATCTCCTGACGTTGATCCACTGCCTTGTCGATTAGACCTTTAAGTCAAATGCTCCGGATGTAGCCCCCTAAGAAAACCACCTGCCTCGGTTTTGGCACCCGGACAGTATTTTAGCTCTCACACAAGTCGAATGGTTTATGTTGCGCATACCTATTTGGTGCCTCCATGTACCAATGTCTATGTATTTAAATAAAAAATAATGCTATTAGAAGTGGCATCGGAAGGGTATTTATCTGTCTTAAAGTGACTTAGTAGATGTTTGGTATTACAGTGAAATCAGTTGAGCTGTAAGGAAGCTTTTCGGTCTCGCTCTAATTAGTCTCTAAGCTCTTCCTGAAATCTCATCTCCAACAGGATATGGATAGAAATAGGCTTATTACAAATAGTTGGTCCATAATGTACAGGATGCTCCTTTCCATATTTCCCGATAAATTTCTTTGGGCGTCCATTTTCTTCAAGGTTCTTTTCGATGGTTTTCGATTTGTCCGTAATTCTGTTGCTTGGGCATCTCATTCTTGCTTTGTTAAAATGCGTTTTGACTTGATATGCAAATACTATCTATTCACACGACTCCCTGCACATCACTAGTTAAGTGAAGCTAATTGAATGGGTGAGACGAATTACAAGGCGTATTTAACTAAGTTAACTTTGTTAGTTGAACGTGATTTACGATACGCGATTTGTTTTCTTTTGTTAACTTTGCTAAAACCGAACGTTTGTATTTACATTGCTAATAACATTCCAAGAAACGATTCACTTAATAAGCACTAACAATTTCTCAACTTTTATTTACAAAATAAAGGATCTGAATGCTCATTTAGATGACCTGACTACTGCTGAATCATATCAGATGCGTTTACAAGTATTGCGATCGTTGTTACAGTTAACTACAGCTTTAGAACAAAAATGGATTATACGTCTTATTGTTAAACGCGATTCTGGTTGTGGCCTAAGCGGGAAGAGTATTCTCAAATGCTTTCATCCAGCTGCGGTCTCTGTTTTCGAAGTCACACAAGTTAGTTTTCTTCGTAACTGTCCATGAAAATAGTTGTTGAATATTTGTTGATAATTTGTAGTCTCTTATTATTATTGCTATTAATGTTTTCTCCTATCTTTCATTCACACCTTTATCTAGAAATATATGTTGTGAAATATGTACAGCTGAACGTTAAATCGTAATCTACCAGTTTCAATCTGTTATGAGCACAATACAATTACCAAAATTCACCAACAGGATACCACAACGTTGTGGCTGAGCAATAATTGTTCGCGAGACTAGATCTTTTGATTTGTAACGTTTACTGAACAACTGACCATCCAACCACAATCGTATTTTTTCTAATGCAGTGAAATATTTTTTTTAATTGAGACAAAAGAAAAATGGTTAGATGTTACACAACATAAGGCTTGTTGGCTGACGTGGAATGATATTTAAGGGCCATTAAATAATTAATAAGTTTATAATTTCGGGTAATGTTCTGTTTTCTTTTGTTAAAACGCAGTCGCACCAACTAAAACCAAGTTTGACCAAGTACAACACAACATGAAGGAACCCTGTTTTCCTTGTTTGTAGCTGAAATCAACGCTACATCGGAATAAATTTCGCTTACAATGAATCGTTTACGTCATATAAATCTAACAATATTACGTAAACGCGTTAGAATTTTTATTATTAGTTGAGTGATTCGAAAACTATTTATTTAGATGAGTAAGTGTAGTGCCCTATGATTCATATTGTTCTATGACATTTTGTCAACTTGTCTTTTCACAAAGGTTGTGTATACATAATCGTTTTTAATACTAATTATCAATCCCTCTTCCTGTGTTCTAAGGTTTATTACTTTCGCAGGCACTGTAATGCTCTGTGATGAGCTACAAATCATCTATAAATGTAGGCATTTATTTGAGAAAAAGTTCTGATTTGGAGACTTGTCGAGTGAAGTAGTGTCCAAAAATACTAAGCAACAAGAGTGGTTGCGTATTAATAAGAGAAACCATAATACCTGTGAATCAAAGTAATATTAAATTAAGGTAGTGAGTTGGTCCTGTAGGTAATAAAATTTGTAATTCATAACGATTGTTTAATTTTGATCTGATCATAACCGAGATGTTCTACTAACTTTAGTGACTGTCATATCAGGATGTAAAAATATATTAATAGATGTAATGTTCGGTATTTTAATTGTCAAACTTCATTCATTTTGTTTGTAGATAGATTAGTTTTCAGTGATTTATTTTTGTTTCATTTTTTTCAGGATCTTCTCCCACTATGTGAACGAATTGCAAATATAACTACTTCCAACATATCCACGTTGACAGGATTTGCTGACGATCTAAGCAAGTCACTCAATGTCACTCTTTTTGTCCCATTTCGTCCCATGTTATGCGAGCGGGCTAATAGTGGTGATATGCTAGTTAACGCAGCACTACATTTGTACGGTAAACAGAACCAAGGTGATACTAAAGGATTAAAACTTCTTTTCGAAACGAAATTCGATGGAGAACGCGTTCAAGTTAGTAATCATATATATCTTTATATTACTTATTGTGGAATGCCAGTGAAAATGTATTTTACTATGACAAACTATGATATATGTTGTTTTAAGTCTATAAATATATTTTCATGTAGCTTCTAATGTGATGATACGTACAACTATTTCTTAAAGGATTTTGGCCCATTAATCTGCTTCAATTTCAACAATCAAAAAGTATTGGTAACGTACACATAATATAATCTTGCACATCCTGATTAAATAATTTTTTTAGTGATGTTTAAGTTGTTTTAAAAAAAATGTCAAAAATTGTATAATATACCCTTCTTAATGTAGTGTAACATTTTAGTCTTCTGTTTTCTGATGTATTGTTCTCCATAAATATCGAAACCCAATCTCTTAATCATCGTTTCTCTTCATGGATAAGATGATTAAAAAAAGTTCATTCTAGAAACAAAAAGAAATGAATTGAAGAAACATAAATAAATCCACTTATGGATGATAAGTGTTTTGTCATAAGTATAGAAGCATAGACAAGTTTCTAATTTGTCAAATATGACTTGCATTTCTCTAGCAACATAGTTTTCGATCCTCCTATTTCATTTTTTCCATTTTCCACTGTATTTTTTTCATATTTAGATTTCTATCATAATTTTTATTATATCCTCTTTGCTAATTTACATCTAATTAATTTCCTCTTTTCTTCTACTGATGTGAGATGTAGGAATTAAGACTATTGATACATATTTTTGCTGTGCTTTTTCTGTGTTTTTGTTAATAGATTTAAATTGAAAAGTAAAAGATATTTAAAAAAAATTTTCTTCCCGAAATTAGCTTCATAAATCAAGTAATTCTTATCGATATTGGTCAAGAAATGGTTTAGAATGGACAGCAAGCTACGGTGAAGATGGTACTCGAGATTTTGACAGATTATCTGCTCAATTACATTGTGGATTTGCACAGCATGTAACTGATTGCATACTAGATGGAGAAATGATGATATTTAGTAATTGGTCAAAGTCAATTATGTCAAAATCAACAAAATTCGATGTAAAACGAAGTTCTTATCAAAATCCAGAAATCGATAATTATCAACCGTGTTTCATTGTTTTCGATATACTTTATTTGAATTCACAAGTATGTCTACCATATGTATATCATATTAATGATAATAATGCCAATACTTCAGATTGATTTAAAATTTGTAGTAAATTAGTGGGGAGTTTGCACTAATAGTACATAACGTTTTCATGGTCATGTGCAACTTTATTTATTTCTAATCCATGAGCATATGTGAAACAACTTTATACACAGGGGAAAGGTGTTTGAAATTATTGTTGTGATTTAAGTTTCCTGCAGTTGTGCTCAAGGCGATACACATCTAAGCAACCTGTTAGTTCATAATCTATCATAATTCGATTGATGATATAGCTTTGTTGAATTATTATAATAACAGAAAAGCCTAACCACTGCATTATGCTATCAAATGCAGTCAGATGTGTTGCTTTTAATTCTATTGTATAGATTCAGGACATCTGTATAGAAGCATTCCAAATATTCAGGGCTTTAAATCTTATTTTGGATATCATAAATAACATTCAGTGAATTAAGCATAAAAGTAAATATCATATATAGGGAGATCTACTAATTTATTATTCATAAATAGTTAGAAGTTTTGTCGACAACTATTTAGCTGGTTGTTTATGACTATTTCAGTAACAGACAACTCTGAATTTATTGGACAAAGAAAAAAGTGTGTGAACATTATAGCACCAAATAGTTAAACAGACATATTGCTATTATAAAGTCATTACTTTCAGTTAACTTATGGGATATCTATATGCTCACTCGATCCTTACATCCATTGGTCACAGATTTAGATTTACTTTATCCACTACAGTATAAGGAATCAGGTGATGTAATTCTTTACGTAATGAGAGGAAATCGTGTTCTATTCCTGTTGTAATGAGTGAGACTGCGGGTTAGATGCGCAGCGTTTTATATCGATCGATTCAATGACATGTAAACACGTAATGAACGATCTAGAGTCCCGATTGGCCCTGCTTCTCTGTCTAGCCCAGCCAGTTGAGTCCAGAACGCAAGTCACAGCCTCTGGGATATGAATCATTATATTTCAAACATACTCTGTTTATATACTAACCAAGCAGACCACATCGTACCATAAAAACAGAAAACAACATTTACACAATATTAAACAAGTGAAGCAAAATCGACCAATAGGAAATATACATTTAACGTCCAAGGACAACATTCGACTTAACATGATAACTATTGGTATATTTTTCTGCACATCCTAACAATTCCATGAATCTACAACCTGGAATTTTTAAATATCTTTTTATGCGTGGTATATTCGACTAGTGCAAATGATCATACTTTAGGGTGTTCTGGCCTTCGAGAATTGTTATAAGCTTGTATAATTTGAGTGTTCTGGTAATTTCCAACTCGATCATAACTACCTTTTTGTTAACTACGATATATTTTTATTGGTACTGTGTATTGTTTACCCGTTTTACATGTTTAACAGTTTTTTTCAATCTTATGTATTATTTGATAACTTTTTTTACTCCCTCAAGTTATTAACTTCAAAGTCTTTACTGGAGCGTAAACATCTTCTATCAGAGGCATTTAATTTGAATTCCATATCATTGGATACTGACTTGTTTATGAATAGTGATGAATCATTAGATTTCAAACCAATCCCTATTATAGATGGTATTATATACGTTTCCAAATGGTATACTGCCTCAGCACGTCAAACAGAAGTTGCAAGAGCTTTTAATCATCTTGTGAATGATCATCAAGAGGGTCTTATAGTGAAAATAGCTGATTCTCCATCTCCTTATCTACCTGGTATTAGAACTGATGGTGGCTGGTGGAAAATTAAACCAGATTATATACAGGGCTTATTAGAAGACTTAGATTGTATAATTGTCGGTGGTTATTTTCATCATCGTGGGAATAAGATAATAACAAGAGTTAACCATTTTTTATGTGCTGTTCGGGGTGATGAATCTACTTCAGAAGATAATTTCAATATAACACGGTTTTATACATTTTGCAAGGTACGCTTTCTCTTTAAATTTTTAAGTTATTCAACACCTTATGTAACGATTAGAGTATATTAGTCCCCATGTTTACTTTTTTTTTGAGGATGCGCTAGAACCATCTAGTAGTCGATTTATTCAAATCACATAATTCAGGTTTGAGTATAGTAAACAAATCGTTAACAGTTGGGTTTCACTATATGTAAACTACTAAGCTATTAGCATTACTTATAATTGATTGCTGTTATTCATCTGGGATTCGACAGAATTGTTCAAATGTTTAGGATGATTGAAAACCATCCACATTAAAAAAAGTCTTTTAGTTGTATTTCATTTTATTAAGCCCTCTTGGAACTATTAACATTCATACATATACCTGTAAAAAAGATTGTTTTATTATTTATGTAAATAACTTTTTCTTATGTGAACGCGTCCATGGTTTAATAAATGAGTTTATTCAAACCTCATGAAGTAGAAATACAATAGTGAAAAACAAATCTGCAAATAAATAATTAATTCAGTTCGTTGGAATTCCCACATTAATTAGGAATACCGTGTTTGTTTGGATTCTGTTCACATATATTATAAGCTTACGACGAGCTATCAGTAAGTTCAACTGCCTATTTCAATATCGTTTCAGTTAAAATTGATACATAATATGATATTTAGCCGTTAGTTTATATCTGACCCGCACGTAAATTGTTGTGTGAAGAGTGTAGAAAGAAATGTGTGTAGTTTTTGTGGTCGTAGTTTATTCAACTATCTTGGAAATCCGATAATAAGCCCTTTTTGTTTATAATTATTAAAGAAGGGGTACCGATTACTGAGAGTTGACCAATTTGATGACTATTCAAAACCATATTTAGCCGCGCAAGATCCCTGGTTAGGATCTACTTGATAGTTGGGCTGTTAAGCTAAAGATCTCTAGTGGAGCATCTCAGAATCGGTTTCAGCGACGCAAATGCATTCATTCTGTATTTTTCTCTACAATTTTATATTTGATATTATCGCGTTCTTTCTATTCTGAAAATTCATGCCTTTTTCGAATTGAATTTTATGTATTCATTTCACCTTACTGTGGAAGAAACTATCATTCAACTCATCGGTGTGCTAATGTTATTGTTTCACCATCAATTCCATCCAAATCATTTATACATATACTTGGACGCTTATTTTGTGATTTAAGACATTTTTCTTTCGCTGTTGTTTTCTGATAGCTGATTCCAGTAATAATGTATGAACTTGATGTAATCTATATTTAAATATTTGTCTAGTTATTGAAAGTGGTGAGAACATAGCCGGGCAAGTTTACTTTGATGTACAAATGTTCTTACAGCTTGTGTTTATAAATATATCCATCTCAACAAAATATGATTATCATAAGCAGACATTTCAGAGTGTTTATCTTTTTTCTGGTTTATCAATCATTTTTTGATTTCATCTGTCCACTGTTATATATTGCCTCACTTTTTATTGCTTCAATATTTTTCGTGGTTAGTACTGGGCAACAGAACTAAAAACTAACCATCAATTATCAGTTTTATTCAATGTATTTTTTTGACAAGGTTAAATCTGGGCTAACAGTTAAACAATTGAAAGAAATCAACCAGTTGTTAGGAAAGCATTGGAAGGTGTACGATAAAAAACATCCTAACTCTAGTTCTACTGAATGGTTGTGTGTGAATTCTGAACGCCCAGATGTATGGATAGCTCCACAATCATCGCTTGTTTTACAGGTTAGTCATCGACTTCATCTCATACTTCATTCCTTCGGATTCATGAATTTGATAGTCACATAAAATATGTTTTCACTTAGTACTGAATACTAAAATCTGACCTGTTCGTTTACTGTGATGTACTAGATTAAAAGGGGCTGGTTTATGAGCATTCTGATTTAAGCTGTTTCTTCATTAATTCATATCTTTCAGATATGAGTTGAAGCAGAATCACACGGCGTATCACAATCCCGGTCCCGGTTGATATCAATTTTTCGAGCATCATTGCACTCAGTCTTAATGACTGTTTGTTTTTTGTTTTTCTCTAAACTTTTAAACTGGTTATTTTACAATATTCTATGCTAATAATTATTCACTGTTTTTTTATTTGTATTACAGTCTGTTAGTTTTAATATCTTACTTGAAGAATTTCGACAAAACGGAAATGCACATACCTGTATGAGGGATTTCATTTTCTATAACCTTTGGCAACTAAACGTTTATAGTACTAACTCTTTGTGACCTGCTTCAAAACTTACAGCAGTTAAGATCACTTGAACCGCGTGCACTTATTAGTTATTAGTACAAACAAATAGTTTAAACTCAGATAAAATTGTGTCGTCTAGTGCGTACGTAAAGTGGCACCTTAAAATTGCTGTATTAGAACGAACGACTTTTATTTGCTTCAAGAGAGTCTGTTAATTTTTTAGCACTATATATATTAAAAAACTAATTTATTTAGTTGTAGTTTTGTGGAGAGTTCATTTAATTTCTGGGTTCCATTCGTTATGGACTGATCTCGTTTTGGGATTCTATTAACAAACAAGAGTTACTGGATAACGGTCTATGATAAATACAACCTACAAATCTAAAAAAATCGTTCAACTTAACCACAATAGCAACTCGCTAATGATTTCAAATATTTTTGAGTTTCTAGTAGAAGTTTTGACTAATGGAGCTCAGATATTCCGAAAGCAAAACAGTTGTTACTGGCGGCATCGGAAAATCGTTATGCTCGTCCGTAAAGTGATTGATGTCGGACATTGACCCAGTAGTTCCAATGGTTAAGTGTCCACTGTGAGACCTGGATATCCTGGGTCTGGTCTCCGGTGGGTAGTCGGTTTGGACCCCTTGAAAGCCCCATCCTAGGACGAAACAATTGTTAAATATTCTTTGCTTTCCAGTCGTATGTCAGGTGAGATCAATCTGTGACGAATACGACCTACTAATTTGCTTCTCATGAAGATTTTTATAAATAAGCCTAAATGTAAATTAGGTTAATCTACGGTTATTTTTTGTATTCAAATATATTTTATTGCTTATTTTGATCGACTACAGCTTCATGGAGCTGAGTTAATCCAGAGTGATTCATATTCTTGTGGAATGACTCTTCGATTTCCTCGTGTGGTGGCTATACGTTATGATAAAAATTGGTGTGATTCTTTGTCAATGAGTGAATTAATTAAGCTAAATACTGAGACAGAGGTAATTAATCCGAATTATGTGTAATTTTGTTAATGGTTTTAGCTTTTTTTTTAAAAGTAATAAATGTTTCCTTGCCATGTAACATAATTGTTTTGTTCATATAGCTAATTGATTAATTTCAGCTTGTCCCACCATCTGCAAAATTAACTGAAATTCATTTCTTTCCGAAAGATTCCTGTGAAGTGTTTTGAAACAAAGTTTAAGCGAATACTTATTTTCAAGCATTTCCTCTCTAGACTACACAGTATAATATGGATAAATCAACGAGTCCATCCTCAATTTGTTATATCAGTTATGTATTATTGGAATATAAAGTTAGTAAAGAAAAATGAAATAAAGTGAACATGTTATTTTTGTGCACAAAGATTAGACTTGAACTGATGAATAGCCAGAGCCTCTGTTGTTGGTGTTCAATTTTCATTTCCCTTAAATCAACTTTATTGACTGTATGGATGATTTTGAAGGATTCTGGTCATACAATTTAACCACAATTTACGAGATCTAGAATTGAGCTATTGTCTGACTTATGCAGTTCTTTTAATCTCCAGGTAGGGTAATGAACAGGGATGTGCTTCAAAATAGCTCACGTTGTCTGACGAGCATAACCTGTTACATAAGAACAAGTAAACTCGTATTTTTTCAAATAGATTCCCAGTTTGAATGCTTTATCTACCAGACAAAAATCCTTATCTCTATTTCTAGTAAAAAAACTTGGATAACTCAAAACAACTATTATAAATTGTCGTGAATCGATACCAATACAAAGTCAACAATTAGATTATCGTATAATGCTACTACTAAATATCTTGCCGAAATCTCATAATTGATCGAAAATTGGCTCAACAGATACATTATCGTTGATGCGTTTGATCTCGGTCATTCAATATCCCATCACAACGTAAACGGAAAGACATAATCTCATCGGATGTTACTTCTTAGTAAATGTCCCATTCGTAAAACACAGTTGTGATTATTTTAAAAACAACAAGCCATATATTAGTGTTCCGAAACACATTGAATATTGAATCAATAAAATAATTGAGCCAACCGTGATTTGTATAATGGGCTCAATCGATCAAGTAGCCGTAAAGTGGTGGTTGGAGACAGCCAAAAAATCCCTGGACTCAGGTTTAGTGTTATTTAGTACTCGTCAGAAAGGTGTATCTGTAATATCGAGTAGACCGATGCTTCCTGATGGATTCGATCCTGTGTCACTCAGCTTCACAGTCAGAAGCGTTGTCAGTGAACTATCCGGGCAGCGACTGACTTCCAGTAGGACTGAGATGTATTTACAATTGATTGATTGTCGTACACTGACCATTTCTTCACTTTGATTAGGAGTTACTCAATGATATTTGAACTTCTATTTAAATTCCATTTTTCATATCTTATCAATATATCTGTTATATCTTGTGACCGCCGATTAACGTGCAGTGACTTATCGATCGGAACAATGACGCGTAAACCCGTATGAGCAGACTAGAGTTCTGATTGGCCCTGATTTCCGCCTAGCCCAGCCAGTTAAATCCAGACACACAAGTCTCAGCCTCTACGATATGAATCATGTATTTCAAACATACTCGGTTTATATATCAACCAGACAGACCACAACGTACCATAAAATAGAAAATAACATTTGTACAATATTTGGCCAACAGGAAAATGACACGTGAAATAAATATTGACCAATAGGAAAATAATACCATTTCAAGTCCGAGGATAGCATTAGACTTAAGAGGATAATTTTTGGGATATTTTTCTGAATATCCCAACAATATCTTTAACATTTATGATTTTTTTCATTTTCTGGTTATTAGGGTAAATTAGCCACAAAGCGATTGTCAATCGTGCCAACATTTTCTGGACTTGCAGATGTTCAACATCAACACTCCTTTCCAGATATCAGTAATTTGAATAATAGTTGTTCAAACACAAATCAAAGTAGTGGGTATCATACATTAAATGAAACCACAGAACAACAGACAACTGAATTATCTTTAAATATTGATGAACCTTTAGCAACATCTTCACCTAATAAACGTAAAATTGATATTTATCATGAACATGTATGTTGTGCTTTTTTTGAATTGGATACTCAGCGTTATTATTTTATGTGTACTTTATGGTGTTTTTTCATCGTCTCTGACTCGTTCAATCTCTTGACCCTTTTGCTAAAATGAATATTGTCAGTATTACTTAACGAATTTCTTTAACTATTTTAACATTAAGTGATGTCCACTAGAATGTCGAGTAACAATACAGCAGGGTTTTTTAGACTAGGTAACGTGAAATTATTTAGTAACCAGTGTGTGAATGTAAGTACACTGTTGAAAAATATTATCATTGACGTAATGGAACTGTATAATAGTTTGTGGGTTTTTACGGTTTATTTAAATGCATCGTGAATAAATTATGATCTATTGAAGTATGTTCAGAAAAAGAAAAAAAAGCGGTTGATTTAATTTATCAGTATACACAAAGTGACTGTATTTTCTTGTTGAATATGTCCACAACTTCATTGATCGATAATCTTTTAGTGAATGTGTTCTCTGAGCATGTATGATGACACTTAAGAACAAGGACAAAATGTATTCTGTCACTAGTTGTTGAACATTAGGAGTTAAGAATTGTGTCCTAGTTAATTATGCCAACATGAATCTGTTATCAAGAGTCGTTTAAAAATTCCCGACTGAATTATTTACTCTATGATTTCTGTTTGTATGTGATTCATCACCTGGTTATAATTTATAGTTGAAATCAAGCTTTCGAAATATCGATATAAAAAATTAGTGTCTCTCTCTACTTTGTTTTACTTACCTTATAAATTCTATCACTGCAATTTAAATATGTTACCAGTTTTAAACTTTCTCCATGTAATAAGCTTTGAGTAACCAAATTATGTCGATTGCTTTCATGAAGAACTTTTAACTTTCAATTTATAACATGGTGTTGTTTATCTAGTCGCCAAATTTCATAGTATGCTATTGTTTGAAAAAATGTTTTAAGCGAGTCCAACTTTTAGATAAAATAGTACCCCATAACATGTACTTCGTAGTATATATTGCCTATTGTTAATTAACTTCCTTGAATAGTGTAAAGAATTGTGTATAACAAATGAATCATTGTTTATTTTAGTTAAATTATTTTGGAAATCATGAAATATGCCTTTGGTTATCAAATGATATTGAATTGAATAAAAAAATAGAATATGAAACTATTATTCGTCACTATGGTGGTGTTGTTGTACAAAATCCATCTGAAAGTACTTTTTGTATTGTTGTTGATAAACTTACATTAAAGGTAAAGGTGAAATATGTTTTCAATTTGTAAACATTTTTAGTTTTAATTTAACCTATTGAATATCTGATTTTTTTATTAGTAACTAAATAAATGATCAATGAGTGGAAAAATTAGATTTTCTTATGTTTCGGGACTCAGTGTAAGCCACCTTTTCAGAGAATAAATAACCAAATTAAATTAATTCAAGTTTAAATAGTACAAAGGAACAAAACAAGAGTATTAGATGTAATCAATCATAAACAGGTCTGACTTGGTCAAAATATTTAGTTTTTTTTTGACAACTTAAACAAATGATCGGCTAGTTTACTAAAGCTTCTTTTCACAGTTTATTCCCTTAGTTCTTGTCCAAAAAGTCGTTGATTTGAAATTGAAATTCATCGATAAGGAGACTTTCGGTTTACTGACTAGAAATTATTTGGAATCTTGTATCAGTTATGTTTCCATTTAGTTACGTAAGCAAATATTCTTACTGGATTATTCAGTTTTTATATCTGTTTATCAGTCTAGTTTTCCTTTTTATGTACACTATGTTTTGTGGTTGACTTTATTCATTACTCCGTGAATGAGTTAAATGAAATAAGTTCATGTATTCTCTAAACCAAATACAAAATCTATCAATTCGAATTTGTGTGAAAATAGGATGAAATCTGTAAACACTTTCGGAATATACATTTATTATTATTATTATTATTCCAAGTCTATACACCCAAGATGTCACTAGTATTATTTCGTGATAACTAGGGATACCGTCATACTGCCCAGAGCAAGATCAATGAATCTGGTCTTCAATCTGCAAAACCAGTGCCTGGAAGCACTGTGATCATTAAAGAACTACTGTACTTATTACTCATATTATATTTTCACTATTAAATTTCTTAAGGTTGTTTTTCATGAATTCTAATTACATTTTATTACTTCAGACAAAAAATTTGCTAAACTATTCCAGTATTTCAAAAAAACGCTCTTCATCTATTGAATACAATGTAGTTCACTTGAACTGGTTACTTGCTTGTATCAATAAGAAATCTCTGTTAGCATGGAAACCAAAAGATATGTTTGCAATGAATTCATCTGTCGCTGCTAAAATGGCTCAAGAATATGACAAATTTGGTGATAGTTATAGTGAACCTATTACATCTGATGAATTGAAATTAATCTTTAATGATATTTCATGCTTTGAATCAGTTACAGAAGAGAAGAGGGATATACCAAAGTTAACAGTAAGTTGCTTGACTTGTTTTCCCACTTTACTTCATTTAAGTAAACTATAATTATGTCCAGGCAACTACTTATTGAACTTAATAGTTGCTTTAATACTATTCTACATAATCCAGCACACTGATGATTCAATGTTGAATACACGTTGTAGTGTGAATAAATATTGTACTCATATAGATGTCAAGTTAATCTATAAATATTTATCACACAGTCCTTGGCAGGTGGAGGAACACTTTACTTCTATCTGAAGTTTGTGCTGATGATGTCGTTCAGAAAAACGATGAGAGCTCCACGACTAAACCATCCAGCTCAGGGCACAAAACTCCATTAAGATCCTCGTCACATCTAGTTATCTTCATATCTGCATCTAAAAGGCAACCAAAATGTAGTAAAAAATCCACAGAATAGTGTATGTTCTATAAATTCGGTAGTATTTAGTAGTACTTACTGTTCAAGCGACATACTTTATATTGTGTGATAATTCGTTAACTTGTGATAAATAATAATTACTGGATTATTAATTATCACCAAGGCTTTAGAAAACAATCATTGTTACCATTTTGTTTGACTAGTTTTTAGAAATATTTGCCGAGTGTATCGTTTATTTAGTTATCCTGCACTACGTATTAATTTTTAAAGCCAATTTTTATGTTCCAAGCAATGCACTCAAGAGATGGAACAATGATAAATAGAGCTATATTAGAGTTATGATAATAATCCGACGTCAGTTGTAGGTTTGCAAATATTCTAATTTTAGTGAATCTATTCACGAGGAACTTTTAAGTGAGTTATAGTTGTAGAGTGCAACACCAATCTTTTAATTGAGCTGTTTTTATCATTAAAGTTCTGTTTTGTTATGAGTAAGTATTGTGATACTTTTCTAATGATTTATATCGTTCAATAAATATGTATGTTCTCACAGTTTAGATCAGAAACTAAACTTTGTTAGACCACCATTGAAAACCTAGAAAGACTAAACTTCTGTGTCGTCCTAGTATAGTCTATCAATGATTTTAGATTCTTTTCTACAATTACATGTCACTTTGTTTAAGCAATCTATTATCACTCTTTCAAATTCATTTTGGATTATCTCATCATTATTCGAACAATATTCTTATTATTTTTTTCTTCAGGTTCCAAAACTCAGTCATTATTCAAAGTTAAAACTTTTATTAGACGAATTTCCAAATGATATGGAAGTGTTACATCCTTTGACGGGTTATATTCTAGTACTTATACGTCCATTGTTCAGTTTAGAAAATGATGAAAAGAAGACTGTACTGACTAGTTTGGAAATCCATCAACAATTAATGATTATTGATCTACGTAGACTTGGTTCAATGTGTATAGGACCTATTGGTATTTATAAACTGGAGTCTGTATCTAATGTTCAGTCTTTGTTGAATATGGCCTATCATAATTTGTTATCTGTCGATTCACATACGAATGATTGTATGCGATCATTAAGTAATAATTGTATCAATCCAACGCATGTTGTAGTGGTAAATTACCAATATTTATTGTTCTGTGATTTTTTTTTTAATGATTAAGTGTTTTATTACAAAACTGTTTATTGGTTTAAAAAAATCCCAAGTTGATTATTATTATGAATAAATACTGGGCGAAATCAGTTATGTAAATAAGTAGTCAAGGAGTTGATTATTAAATCCTAACTGAATGTACATAACAATATGGAATTACTAACAAAATACTTGATTCATATTCCTAATTAAAGAAAATTCGCTTATGGGATTAGCAGTGCAATTCATACAACGTAACGTTAAGTTCCTTATTAATTAAAAATGAGTTAATCATGGGTGTAAATGCAAAGCTGCACAGTATGCAATAAAGACTAAAAATTCGGTTATAAGATTCTTTGAATGTACACTAACTGGGTTTATCGTAATTCTCTAACACTGTGCTATTGGAAGCGTCAAGATGATTAGTAATCGATTTCATGAAGCAGTCCTTAGTGTTAACTGAAATGGATATAGTTTAATAGTATGGTAGTGAACAGAACACGGGTGGGGACAATCGAGTGTATTTAACACAAAATTACAGGATTTGTTAATAAAATCTAACAATCATAAAGTAAATGCTTAATTTGCAAAATATCCACCAATTGTCTCAAAATGACTCAGGCTTCATTGTTCTTACATTTTCATACAAATTGCATTTTGTTTCCATTCTTTACTGTTCGATCCTCTTGTCTCTCTGCTGCCAGACCTGTCCATAACTAACATCATATACTACTTATGTCAATATAAGTAGCACACACCACAGTATTATATCCGATTATCCACTTATATATATATAAAGTCATACCAATGTAATCTGGGTCCTAAGCACTGGATCGTGTGCTCGAATTGATATCATTTTATTTAGCTCATGTTTTTCATGAAATGTTTAAAATACTCAACTAAATGTTTCTCCCTTTTTTTCCAACACGTAGTTATTATCTTCCCAAGAAAAAGAGTTTAATATTTGGTTAAACGAGAATTATTCAACATTAAACTCTTGGATTCGTCAATTTCCTCGTATACCACATTTCGTCAGAGATAGTTGGTTAACTGAATGCATTATGCAAAGCAATTGGTGTTCAGAATTGAATCATTTGATTGAAATGAATTAAATTCACCATTCTTTCATGTTGTTCATTCAGTTTTCGAAGTGAAACGGTAGTTTACTGGCTAGACCACTTGTCTTCCATCCGAATAGGTCACAAACTCAAACTTCACCTCACCCTTACTTCGATTTGTGCAGGCATGTAGTAACACTAATCCTTATATAAATTATATGGGACTCAAGGCTGGAGAGTATATCAACTTGTACATGATAAATGAGCTCTACTGTTATCTTTACTGTATATTATTATTTATTTTGATTGCAATACCCCGTAAAGAAAAAAAAGATCAAATACTTCACATAATCTACAGTTGAATGTTTTTATTCATAATGTCAATATTCTTTTCTTCAAACTTATTTATCTTTGAAAACTCTATTTCTCCACTTCTATGAATTGATCATTATTAATCATCATTATTTGTGCAACTAATTTCTAATTTTCTTTTTTTCATTATTTTTTAAACATGATACCAGTTTATTTTTGTATAATTTTGTTTTATCAATCTGTGATTGGAAAAAATAAAACGTTATGTTTTCTCTGATGTTGTTGTTGTTGTTGTTTTGGCCGTCATAATTGTCGTCATCACTGTTTCTAAACTTTAATGTGTTTAAATTTGAATTTTACTGAATGAAAAACAACATCAAACAAACAGCAATATTAGTCCAGCGTTAGTTCAAACTCATTTGGTCCAAGTAGTTTTTTCTATCTATTGGGAAGGAGGTTAAATTTAAGATCGCTATGTTAACAATAGACATGACTATTCAGTAGGAAAACAGTTTTTTATTTATCTTAGTATAGTAACCTGTAGTGTATATCGAGTATAAAAACTATTCATCAAGGAATGTATCACTTTGTTTTCAAGAAATTCCGAAGGTTTATTATTTCTTTACTAGTTGGTGTGGTTATAGTTTGTTCTAAATTACTCAGTAAAAAATAATTATCACACTCATCTTCACATATTCTTACATTGGGAATCGTAACTTCTAGTCTTTTGCCCACACAGTAATTTGAAGGATAGACCAATGTCAGTCAAAGAGTTAACAGTATTTTTAATCAACGAGAAATTCAATCATAAACTCGAGAATTTTTACTTATCTGATACTATGAGAAATGCAAGCTTGTATGTTTATACATTTAGTATAACTGCTCCAATAATGAGTTTTTGTCATTAATCTTTTCATCTGAATAATTTTAAGGCTTTTTTCAGAATACAAAGAGTTACCTTTAAAAAAAGCTATGATGAATTGATTGACATTTTTATGGGTTTTTTGATTGTCTGCTATCATTTCCTTTATCTAGCTCCGTTAATTTATGGATGTTTATTTTTTATTCGATTTTCCCATTAGTAATTGGAGCTACGACTACATTTACCATATAACACTTTAATTATACTATCTATGAAGTATGTGAAGTAACAAAGTAGTTTTCCCTAATATGGGTAGTTACCAGATCAGTGTAGAAGTCTCATGATATGCAGATTTAAATGAATATATGTAAACGGATTGTTATGAGTTAAAATCACTATGTCAGCAAGTGTATCAGCATTAATAGATCGTAAGGAATGCAAACTTTTTTAGATTGCGATAATAATTTATCAGTTAACTAAAAATAACAAATTAACATAAATAATTAAATGTGTACATCTAATCAACATTTACTTTCTAATTTATCTCTACAAAAGTCAACGTCAATATGTAATGAGAAAATCTTAAATTCACAGCGAATCATATTAAATAATTTTTTATTTCTTTTAAAAGCTTCTGTTATGGTCTAGTAGTTTGATTCCAAATTAGGTCGATTAAATGATTATAAACTTATGAAAGTGTTATAACTTGTGCTCCTATCAATATATGACGTAATGATACCGTCATTTAATGAACTGAATTATCGACTAGACCAATGACACAAAACCCGTACGAGCAGTTCAGAGTCTTTATCGGCCATTCTTCATGTCTAGCCCTGCCTGTTAAGTCCAGAACACCGATTTCAGCCTCCGCTATATTAATCATGTATTTCAAACATACTGTGTTTATGTACAAACCAAACAGACCATACCGGACCACAAAATAGAAGAAAAAGACACCTGTACAAGATCTTGCCAAAAGTGGCTATGACTGTGGGAAACTGTAATTAATAGACTGAGCACAACTCAAGAATGGTACATCGCGTAATAATAGTCTATGGGCCAAAATAAAGCTTATAATAAGCGGAACACGAATATGAACAGTTCAGCTACTCAACAATTCACAATTGATTGATCACTGAGTGGCGATCAATGTCATGCGTGTCTAGTCCTTATTAGTGAAGATCGAGTGCTATCGATCATGTTGCAATGTGGCCACCAGTCTAGGTGATTCGACACTGCGGGCACTATATAGTGAGATTAGATGGGTTTCCTGTCGACTACCTCCAACCACCATCTAATACTCAACAATTATACAGTTAATATATATGTATCGTATTCGTCCACAAATAGTTCTCAAAATTTATCATTCATAATTCTCGTCGGGATATAACAGCAATAATCATGGTTTAACTAAAATAACCTTTTTCTTTTGTTGTGATAGTAATTGTCTATTATAATTTGAATTATATTCTGAGATTCTAAACTACTAAAAATTCCCCTTGTAAAAGTTAGAACAACACATATAAGCGAACAATATTGTTTTTAATTGAATCTTCATAAGACTTCGATATACATTAATATTTGTATGTATAGTTTATTTATTTATTTTAACACATAGATATTAGTACAAGGAGGCACCAAATACATATGCACCACACAAATCTCATTTGATATGGGTGAGGGCTCTGATACTGCCCGGGTGCCCAAACCGAAGCAGGTGATTTTCTCAGGGGACCACTCCCCGAGCCTTCGGCCTGAAGGTCTGATCTACAAGGCAGTAGAGCATCGTAAGGAGATGCAGTCCCATGGTAGCCGGTGACCAACGATTGGTTTATACGCCATTTGTTCCCGTAGGATACTGGAGCACCATTGGTTTGGATAGTTATAAAAATATTAAACTAACCGAGTTAGTTTATGAGTGAACGATAATAATGAAATGGATTATATAATTACATGTAATAAGCCAAATGTATGGATTAATAATATGGTGGCGTTTGTTCTATCAGTGATAGGAATAATAAAGTTTTGGATCAATGTTTCAAAATAGAAATCAGATAAACACTTGAAAAATAGAAGAGTTATCATTGAAAATTATTAAAATTACAGAATAAAGTGTCCAAATAATTAAATAGTGAAAAATCTATACTAAAGAAGATAAATAAAAAAACCCACTAATGAATGTGGAGAGTAGTAATTAAAATCGACTTTTAAGCTTTACTGTATAGTCTAGTAAAGGTTGATGAATATCTTACTGGAAACAATTTTGTTTGCTGATATATGTTCTGATTACGAAATTTCACAAAGATGTTTGTAATTAAGGTCAGAATGCCAAAAACCAACACATAATATTTTGAAGTAGCTAGAAACCAAAGTGGATGTAAAGAATGCATAGCATTTGTTGACCGAATAAGAGTTAGAAATCAACTGATTTTCGGATATCACGTTATTGAGATCAGGTTATCTGTGATTACTGTTATGAAGTAATTGGTCACATGTGACTGATTTTCGAATATTGCTTTTTCCAGTGCTACTTACTCGGTTTCAATTGACTGTACATATGTGCCTTTGAAGGCATAAGTATTAAGGGAATCATAAGTTAAGTATTTGGTAGACTATACGATTTCAAGTATTTCTTTGCATTACCTTATAGTACACTAATCACTTTGATCATCTATGTTTGATAGATCGATCCCAGTTTGAAATGTTATTGTACCGTACTATCTTCAAATGAAAATGTGGTGTAAATGGAATTTAAATACTTCATCGTTAAATAGAAATTTGATTATTCTTTTGCGTGTGTTCATTATATTTCATTAGTTGAACCAAGCATGATAATTCCCCACTTAACCTTGTTGGAAATAGACAATACCAATCCTGTTTTTTTATTTAATAGATCATACTAGTGAACTTCCTTTTTTCATTTTTTGACGAGACTATCATTTATGAACGAACCAATCAGGTATAGGATAATAGGTCTTGGAATTTGGCGCAAAGTTCACTTATCCATTTGACTAAATAGCGCTTTGGGATTATAACTGATGTCAGTTCATGATAAAAACCCTGTATCTAATTCCTAAGCTTAACCATCAACTATAAATCCTCATTTAGTCCTAGTTATTAGGTGGACACTCTCAGGGTCACTTTAGCGTCATTCAAAAGTCATCCAAAAATTATAGTCTCATCAATTTTTTTAAAATTAAACTAGTAAACATTCTTAACTGTTACTTTTATCATGAAAATAAATTTTTCAAACACTTATATTAAAAGTACGCCTGGCACGAGACTGATATGTCCTGGGTTCGAATCTCGCAGGGTGCAGGATCGTGGATTCACACTGCTGAGGAGTCCCATACTAGGATGAAACAGCCGTCCAGTGCTCTCAAATTTTCCATGATGGTCTAGCTTCAATTGACTCATGAGTTCAATCAGTGAAAAGTACGTTTATAAAATTTCCTTTTATTAAAAATAATTTTGTTTTGTTTTCTAAGCAACAACACTATAATGTACATACATTAATTGTTATTTTAAATATAGTTACCTATTGTAACTACTTATATTTTTGTCATAAATCTTGAAAGTTTATAGACTATAATTAGTTGTTAGTTTAATCTTTCTATTCAGAGAAAGTATAGATATTAATATTAAAACAAACCACAATATTATTTCCGTTAAAGTTTTAAACTTTTATTTATTAAATCTAAAATAATATACCAGTCCATATTTAACTCTCATAACATTTCCTGTTTCCTTCATACAATCAAATAAAATTTGAAACAAACATACAATACTCAGGTTACTATGTTTGTTTGTTTGTTTTTTCACGAGAAAATCTGTTCCTTATTCACTAAAATTAATAAAAATAATTTAAGTTTTAGGAAAATCTAATCGTATTTTTGTTTAATGCTGGCCTGTCCTTGTATACTAAGAATTCTTTTCTCTTTTTTTTTAAATGTCATATTGAAATGAGACTTTCTAAATTGTGATTTTATGATTTTCATATAGTTCAAATAAATTATTTTTTAGCTCTTTAGAACTTATATTATTAATAAACAGAGATGAATAATGGCTAGCAATGGAATCTAGGACGCGAATTTTGTCTTATTTAACCGAATATGCCTGCACCTTAGAGTTAATGTTCACTCCGGGACTCAAATCTAGTATCATTCCCTTCAAACACCATCTCGTTATCCACTTAGTTACTGAGTTCAGATAACTATTAGCCTGTGCAATGGGTTGAGGTTTAACTCATTTTTGTATTGGTTCTTTGAATCTTTTCATTGATCAATCGCAGTTCTAAACATCAATGGGAAGATTCAAACAACCAATACAAAAATAAATTACGTTGCTAATGATTGATTCTAGAAGGGATCCAGATATTTTGTGTAATTACTCATTTCTTTATTCGTACTTACCTT